CTTAACTGAGGTTCTGGCTGACTGGTTGACATGAAAGATACAAAAGAAAAGATCCAATTTGTTTTTGGAATAATTTTGACCTAAGGTCATTGACTGATTCAGTTTATAAAACCTGTTTTTATGCTTAATGGAAATTAATTGTTTTTGTTGAAATTAATTCAAAATGTCATGGATAGTGATGCTGTGAGCTGGAAGGCTCTCCAGTAGAAGTCAGTCTCGCAACACATTTGAAGAGGCCTCTTATTGAGGACTGTGTGATGGTCTCATGACTGTCGTTACATACAAACAGCTCAATATCCAGGGAGCAGAGATGATATTGGATGAGAGCATCAGCTGCCAGCATGAGCGGTCTAATTCTGGAATCGAGTTAAGATTAAGATACTGTTTTTGCATAAAACATGAATCTCTCTATTGGTCTGGAAACTCAAATAAAAACTAAAATACATTCCCAGTTCAGGATACAAGTGTGTAAGGTTAACAGTTGCCTTGTGCTGATGTGCTTTGTTTGGCCCTAAATCATCACATTTAGGGCCAAAACGTCAATATTCTTGACATGATTTTTTTTTTGAACAAAGCAGTTGCAGTGTTTTGTGAGAAGCAAGGAACCATTTTGTGTTCTGCTAGCAATAATCGTTAGCTTTTCCAGCCTTCTGTTGAGCTTATGATTATAGAGAAGACAGTTTGTTTGAGAACATCCTCATTTGTTTGGCTTGTCTTTGGCAGCATGAGGTCAAACAGCTATCTTTGCTACTTTAGAGAACATGAAGCCCTAATGATGATCCGACAAGACAGATGAGCAGGTGGCATTGTGAACAACTTGCCCTGAAAGCTTCAGTCGGACAGTTGAATATGCATACTGTTGCTGAATGTCCCTAGGTTCTATGGAAACCATTATCAACATCACAGTTTGTCCCTTTGGTGCTTTTTGCTTAGCTTCCTCACTGTGAAGCATTTACATGAACGAGTTTGAAAGATCACAATATAAGGGGATGAAAAGGATGTGAAATGTCACTAAAGGTCACCAAGTTGTTGTTGTTTTTAAGTTTTCTTGCCTAGGTTTTCTTTACAGACAGTGATGGTCTGAGACATGATGTGGCTTTGGGGAAAAAGACGAGATGGAGTGGGGAAAAAAAGAACGAGGAGCAAGGGGTTGCCATAGAGACTAAGGTTCAGCCAACATATCTGTAGGAGTAGCAAAAGATATTGGAGACGACAAAATAGGCAGTATGGTGACATGTAGGAGACAAGCCACTGCATCTACCATCTGCAGTATTTGTAGACCATAGCTCTCTCGTTCTGATTTTGAATTCCCAGTGAATGTAGTTCGTATGGGTTTTGTTTTTTTAACTGGCTTATTGTTTTAATAGACGCCCATAAAGATTAATTAGAACCACAATCTGAGGTAACAAAACACAGTAGCTGCACTTCCATAATCAATGTGCGCAAAACTTTGTCAGTACTCAGTTAATGTAAAAAAAGCACAATGTTGCAGTTAAAATCACATGTGAATGAGTTTAACATAAGTCGTTAAAAAACACGCTGCGCCATAATCCTCCAACCACTTCCTGTCATCGTCTTCTGTGGGGCTTGTGCCACTGGGAACATCTGGTTGTTGATCATGTGACCTGTGTTTCCATTGGGGCTTTTCAAAATAAACCACTTTCGATGCTGCTGAAGAACCACCTCATCCTAGTGGCAAAAGTTTTTATTGAAAAAAAAATCTACGTTTTTTCAGAATAGACATACTTTCCATTAAGCAAATTTAATTGAAATGTTAAATTGTGCAATTATATGGCCAATGGAACCTGTGGAAGAAGAAGGAGCTGCTAAGGAACTGTCCAGAAGTTGGTGTTTGTTAGAGGAGGATAAAAACTTCAGTGGGACGAAGTCAAAGCAGCAAAGAATGCACCTTTAGCACCGTAATTATCAACAAGCATTGCTGTGTTTCTGTAGGAGCATCATGTAAACAGTTATTTTAAAGTGGCAGAAAGCTTGTCAGTAGAACAAGAGAGTAAAACCAACTGGGAACCCATGACCATGAATGAATGAATGAATGAATGACGGTAAAAAACTAGGTTGGATGCTAGCAAGTGTTCTAGTTTCATTACCGTGGCGACAGGTGTGACCTTATATCCCAAAGACCCAGAGGAACTTCAGCAATAACTACGATCCATGGAGGTTCCACCAGCTGAGTAAAAATCCTATTCAGATGAATTATCTGTTGAACATGTTTTAACTTCAACACAAACACACCCATAGCGCCTGACGCAGCAGGCAGGGGGAACCTGGGCGTGAACACGTCTACAGTCTTCATACTCTTACATATTGACACAACTGGCTTTAGTTACTATTATCCATCCCCCAGCCCACCTCAGCTTGACTCCCCACCAACACATGAACAGCCCTCCCACTTGCCAAGAGCCAGTTGCCATAGCAACAGGAGGCAGTTGGTTCGGCAACTAACGGAAACAGGGGCTACGGAGGGAAACAATAGATGTTTAGTGAGAGTGGGGGATGTTGTGACGGGCAGCAAACGGGATGTAGCCGAGCTATAAATAGATCCAACTGAAGACTGCCTGTCTTATCCTCCTCTTCCTCTCCTGCTACACCTGTGATCAGCTCTCCTTTCTGTATTTTTCGCACACTAAGCAAATTTTTTTTTTTTTTTCTGTTTTCTTTCAAAGGACAGTTCCAGGATAACTGAAGCAAACTTCTACTAATATAAAACTGTCTGAGTGTGTCTCTGACTCAGACTTTAATTGGATATGTGGGATGTCATGGGTGCCAGTTTGTCCAAACTACCTGTGCGTCCGCAGCCGCCCCGCCTGCCTCGGAAGAGTTTCAGTAAAAATTGTGAGACGGCCAGGCAGTTGGTTGGAGTTGATGAATCAGTACGTCTGTCGCGGTTCGCCTTCCCAGTCTGGTGACAGGCTGCCTTTAAGTGGTGGCCAAACATGTAGGTGTCAGTTGGAAGCTGCTTGAAGCTAATTGATTGCTGGACTAGAGAGAGGAACCATTTAGTCCCATAAGAACTGGCTGGCATTCACACTGGGAATTTTCCCAAATCCGGTCCAATTCAATAACCAGTGGCCACAATTTATATATCAATGCAAATAATTTGTATATACTTTTGTAAATGTGTGAGCTGCAGGTTTTCTTCCAGACAATTTGCAGTAAGAAAGTCATCCATTGGCGTTTTTGAGTTGAAAATGTATTAATGTTACCAGCAAATTTGAAAATATGATGAGGTAATTATGTTATTGGAAGACATTATTTCCACTAACTAAACTATAGACTCTTAAAAAAGGGAAACGTATAAAATATAATTAAAATAATTATAAATTTCTTGCATTTCAGTTGTTTCGTCCTAATTAAAGTGTTTAACATTTTTTGATTCTTCATTTGTGACTTGTCACTTTATTAGATGAAATTTTTAGCTTCTAGATCAGTTAAAATAGGCAGCAGTTATGGAGTTCTGGTGAATAAAAGACACCTGACCTCAGTCTCCCTGTATATACTGACTATACAGCATCGCCATTGTGCTTCCAACCTTTTCACCCAAGGGATTCTTTAACCCGTCTTTGCTGGTGTATAAAAATACCTAAAATAAACATGTAGAAATAAACAGCTGAAAATGCCATTTCCTTGAATCACAGTCCTATCATCTGCTGGCTGCTGTTATATCATCAGTGGAGCAGGGATTGCTCTGTCATGTGTTTATCAGTCTGGTGAGATGGATATTAATACCAGTGAAAATCAACCCAGGTTTCAGAACCATTGATCTTTAGAGAAAAACATGTCACCAGTAGCTGTCTATGTTGCTTTAATAAACCAAGAACAGGTCCAATTTGCTGTCAAAGACACAGTAAATATGGAGGAAGGAGTTTGGGTCAGATTGGAACTTTATGGCCATTTGGCATCAATACTGTGTCGTGAAAATGTTGCATTTGGGAACGCAGCAGCCCCATTGTGAAAAATTGGTGTCTGAAATGTTTTGAGGTGATGCATTTCTTAATCAGGGGCAGGGAGGCTCTTCTTTTGTCAGTCTCAAAAATGATTCTTCTCAAATGCTTTCTATCCAATCTGGCTTAGACTGAGTTATTTTGCAAAGTAGAATGAGCAAATATCACTCGGGGTGCACCGACTGGAGTTCTCTGGTCAATCAGCAGATTTTAAAAGCCTGATCTGCTGATTCCAACTTTGGCTGATACCAATTTTTTTTTTTTTTTCTTTTTTGACTGGAAAGTTACTAATCTCATCTGAAGTGTGGTTCTACAAAATATTTCCTCAGGAGAACTGAGTACAAATGTACTTTTTTGTAAACATTTTTAAAGCCAGGCATTATTTTTTCTTGCCTTTCATTGATAAGAACAACATTGTGATGGTCTTTTGCAGGGAACTGAGTCAGTCACCACAATGGCATAGCATGGAACTTTTCTCAAGTAGAATCTGGTCCAACCTCATTATGACGTCTCAAACTTGTGACACAGCCTCTACTTTTATGGTATTCCTTGACATTTTGGACAAAAATCCAATATGCATTAGATATTGCTAACACCTGTTAGTCTTGCTTGTTGGTTCTTTGATGGCATCTCGTGTTTTTGAGCCTGCTCAAAAATATTCACTCCCGATTTTCCTGTCATCCACTGTTGCCACTTATTCCCCTCAATTTTTCGCCTCGTGACTCCATCTGTCTGCCCTTGTCTATGTGCCTCCCGGTGCTTATCCTGCTGTGTCCCTATGTGCCCATCTGACTTTTCAGAAATTGTTGTTTTGTGCTGACATTTAGCCCTCAGTGCAATCCAACAGTAGCAGGAGCCCCAGAACTGCTGGCTGGTTTGAGTGGCAATGGATGTTAAACTCAGCCTCGCAGTACCCTGTCACTCTCTGCCCTCAGATAACCCTTCTGTTTCCACCACACTGGAAACCATCATATTAATCCCTTCTTCATTCTTGCTTCTATCAGATTCATTGCTAACTTGTGCAATACAATGTACATATAGCTTAGCAGAAAAATGTAAATATATTCAGGGTTTCCCTCAGTGTATTATAATCCAGGCAGGGCACCAGGCTTTACTTGCATTAAAACACATTCAGATTTAGAGCGGTAGATACAAAATGGACGTAAGAGTTTGCAGGAAGTAGAGCTAAAATCCTGTCAAACACTAAGTGCCATGACATGCCGTTTTTGTTTGATTCAGCTTGAAGAGTGCGTGCATGACTGTATTTGTGCATGCATAAGCATGTCTGTCTCTAAGAAATGTTCTCCAGGCTTCATGTCAGAATGATTACTCAGTAACAGACCACACATAAATGTATGAAGTAGATGTATGTTGTTCCAGAAGGAAGGCATTTGAATTGGTTGTGAGAGCCGTGTTTCATACAAGTTAGGTGCAAATTTGTGCAATGTATGATTCAGACATTTTTGAAGTTCATATCCAGTTTTCCCTGCTGTACCACTTCTTGACCCACACTCAAGGTTTCCCCCAGAGGAAGGCGAAGTTTTGTGTGTATGATTTACATTTTGCCAACAGCCACAGCAATAGAAAGAAAGGACTGGATGGGAGAGCAGAAAAACAGAGAGGGGGAAAGAAAGAGGAGGGGGCTCACTCACTCCACCACAGTAGGCAGAATCTAGGAACTGACTGTGGCCAATTGAAATCCACAACTAGGTCACATGATGACTGCAATAAGCCATGAGGACCAGAGAGGGAGAAAGAGAGAGAGAGAGAAGCAGCAGACTGGTTGAGTTCGTATCAGTGTGTGATTGAGTTCAGAGCAGAGAGCCACACTGACACAGGAAGCGGACCACACCTGAGTGACCAAACACAAAAGATCAACTACGGAGGACAACAAAGGATTTAGGCAGAAAAGTGGTGAAGATTTCTTTTTGTCATCCAAGACTTGGAAAGAGACAGACTTGGGAACATAGGAAGAGGTCCAAATTGAACAGAAAGGAGAGACACCATGTCTTCTCTCTCCGACCAGCAGCCGGGCTCTCCCTTCTCAGAGTACAGTGAGCTGTGCAAGGTACCACCCACAATGCCGGTTCAGGGTTGGGATTGGCAGCAACCTTCAAGCATGGAAATGGGCACCCCACAGGGCATGGTGATGAGTAGTGGACCTATGTCAGTCGGACTCACAGATGAAGATAAACTATGCTTCTTTGAACAACCAGGCACAGGCAGCATGGATAGAGCACTGAAGGTGCCTGGTGGAGGTGGGGGCATCTCAAGTAGCATCTCTATGGGTAACACCTCACTGGGCAGCACAGGGGAAAGCCCAGACAGCCCTGTCTCCTCTTCCCCATCACCTTCCCCTGCATCCCCTGGTCGACTACCTTCTGCTTTAGGCAGCACCAAGATCTCTCTGTCACCAGTTCCTGGATCTCCAGTCAGACATATGGAGCAGTTATCATCCATAAGTGCAGCTCCTCCAGACTCAGTTGAAATCTCTTTAACAGGGGCTACAGTATGCAAAGACCCTCTGCCTGAAACATTTTCTGAATCCTGCCCAAAGTTTGCCATGCCTCAGGTGGCCCCTAATTATCCCATCAGTGGAGAACTGAATGATAACCATCTGCAGAAAGGTGAAAAGAATGCGACAGTAAAAGTGTCTGACCTCGGAGATGAAAGGTTAATTGAGGGCTTGTCAGACAATAACAGTGAAGAAGAAGAAGAAGAAGAGGTTGTGGAAGATGAGGAGTTGGAACCCTGTTTTATGGGGCGAGCTCAGCAACAGAGGAAGGCAATGAGGCGAGCAATGTCTGAGTGTTCCCACTTGTCAGTGCCCTCAAGTCTAGAGCTGCCTGGTAAGTACGCACTTGGAGATGGGCCAGATTCTACCCAACTGCCATCATCTATGGGTGGCCTCCACCGCTCACCACACTCGATGAAGCGCTCACTGACTGTTGCAGAAGATCAACCACCAACACCACCCCCTACCCTTTCAGCAGCTGGTGCCACACATCTTGATTTGCGTCAAGCCGCACCCGAGCCCCAGCTCTGTCTGTCGCCATTACCCCCTCTGAAGGACCAAAGTGTTGGCTCTCCTCTCTCACCAGTAGAGGTCACAGGAGAGGGCCTTAAGGAAGAGAGGGAACTGGGAGAAATTGTCCTTCCAGTGCCCCTCTGCCCCAAAGGGTTGATTTGTGAAGACATCTGCCCTACACTAATTGTTGACTCATTAACTGAAGATAAGACTGCTTCTAAACCTGATGACCCCAAAGATGTAGAGTTTTATGGAATTGAAGTTGAACAGGAACTGAGCACAAATGCAGAACAAGATTTTGATGCTGCCAACGTAGGGACTGTGACAGGTCACATTGATGACCTTCCAACTGGTGGCTGCGTTGGCCTGGATTTCAACTACAACTCAAACCCCTTCATAGATGGTAGGTGGAGCCTGCGCTAGTGTTTGAGCTCTTCAGATTGAGGGGGTTTTCTTGTGTATTTGTGAAATGACTTGTTATATAGATGAATGGGGAACATTTCTATCTAAGGTTTTAGGAGCCTAAAAGAGCCTTCCAATGTGCACAAGGAATATTGATTCATAGTGTTGGTAATATTATAAATTCATTTTTTTTTATGTCTCAGATAAATTTGAGCTCAGATCTGGGTGTCTGAACTCAGGATGACCTGCAATTTGGAATGCATTTCGATTCAAAGACAAAAAATGTCAAATGACTGCTAAGGCAGAAAATACCATAAAGGCCAGTTAGGCATCAAAATCAGCCGGCTGGTGAAAAGCCTGATCATTGATGATATTTAGTTGTTCTTTGCTCATATGTGATGCTTTAAACCTCAGGTTTGCACAAACTGAGCAAACAAAATCACTTGTCAGATTGTGACTAGTAACCACTAGGGCGAGGGGGTAGGGTTTTCTGTCTGTTCTCCTCCTTTGAAGAGCATAGGAGACTGCAGTGATCGATCGTATAGGTGCTATACAATCAATCCCCTCCAGGTAACACTGGGACTCTGGGTCAGCCTGGCTCATTGTAATAGATGGAGTGAATGCGAATCTTTATCTAAACCAATTTTCCAAACTGCTACGTTGCTCTAGATCTTTCCTCTTTTCTTGTTTTCTTGTTGCTCTGAATGCTCCTCAGTTTCCCAGTGAAGACAGGCAGATTAGGAAAGCAGAATGCAGTTGACTGTCACATCAAATGACCACCATTCAGTTTAAAAAGGACGTTACTGTCATTGAAAAATGGCTCACAACATTTTCTCCATCGGATTGTTTCAATCCCACACCATTTTCATTCATATCATGCTGGCTCTCTTTGTTTCACTTCCTCCTCCTTTTCTGTTAACATGCTGAGGTTGTTTTCACAACCAGGCACAAGGCTGAGTCTGGCAGAGATGGCCAGCCTGACCACTAGAGGATTAAAGGGACATCATTCTTTATGTTCTATTACAGTGAAGTTTAAACAGAAGCCTGGCAGAGTCATGTAGCCTGAGGTTGTGTTGTGCTGCATTCCTAGGAAGGTCATTGGTGGATGTCTGTAGCCGCTGATGTGTGTCAGTGTTACAGGCTGAAGCATTTTCAGTCTGGGTTTTTAAGCTGTTATCCAACAAAAGCAAAGTATGGATCTGTAGTGGTGGCTTTGTCTTTGCCGTTTGTCTCCAGAATGGATGAAAAGCAAAACAAAGGGGAAAATGGAGGGGTGGGGTTTCCAGACAGTGTTAAAAGGCGTTAGCAGAACACATGAGTGCAGATGTGCCGATAATGAGATTAAATATAGCATAAGGCATCAAGAAATTTGGTGGATAGTTTTAACAGATGTGATGAGTTAGAAAAATAACGTTTTTAGATGAAGAAATACTAAATATTTTCAGGCAAGGAATAAAAAAAAACTTACCTGGCAAAAAATAAATAAATAAATAAATAAAGCTGGTATATCTATAGTAGCCACTAGAGGGCAAAGGTGGTTCTGTCTAGAGTAGAGTTTTAGTACAAGAATGTCTGAAGGTCAGTCAAACCGTGACTGAAGGTCATGAAGATAGGTTTCGCTGTTGATTCGAATGTGGGATCATTTTTATTTCACAGCAAGTTAGAACTAATGGGGATGTGAAGTCAATAGTTAACTTCCTAATAACTTGGTCCCTTTAGGCAGACCGCACCAAGAGACGTTTGACCCATTATGCACAATCTGTTTCAGATGAGGTCATGCAATCTGGATAATGGTATTTTACTCTTTACCACACCCTATTTTATCTTCTACCATGAAGTTTGTCTTACAGTTGTTGTCCAGATGATAACTGTCAGTGAAACTATGGCATTACAAAGCATAGCAGCTGCAGTAACATCTATGAAAAGTCTGACGTTGCAATGAGAGGTCAGACTGTAAAGGTCACCTGCCATCTCATTGCAATGACAGGAAAACCTGCCTAAGAACTTCTTGTCTGCTGCCAACCTGCATCAGCCTCCATGATAACCATTCATTTTTACATGTTAAAATGAATAATTTTAGAGATTCATATTTAAAAAATCTAAAGTTTAATGTTCATATTTTAAAATAGAATTAACTACTGCATTCAGTGTTAGAGGGGCACTAAATTAACTTGTGACTCGACCTCGATGTTGTTGAAATGCTTTTGAAAGGGCTTTGTGTTTACCTCAGTCATTAAGAGAAATTGTTCTAAAACTGGTCATCTGTTGCATAAAGGAGCAGAAAAAATAACATTTTATTGTTTTTGCAAACGCAAGCCTTACAATGCCAATTATTTTATTGTGAAAATAATTGCAATTTCTTTTCAGAAAAAACAAAAAAAATCCATGTCTGTTCCATCACTTTCAACAGCTGCTTAATATGTCAACCAAATGTGGCTGTATCAGTTCTTAGATTGTTTTGATTCCATCACTTTAATGTGTTTTGTTTTTTTTCACACTAAAGAGTGGCGGGTTTCGTTGGGGCCGTGTCTTGCATGGCCCGATTACATAATCCTCTCGGGGCCACTAAAAAGTGCTTCAGAGACTAGCCTGCAATTGTTTACCAAACTAAGCTGTGCTTCATGATGGGACGATGGAATAGAGCAGCATAAATAGCCAAGTTCCCAGCATGGATTTTTATTAGAGACAGCCTGAAGCGGCGCTAGAACAGAAGAGCAGAGTCTGCATATTTTAACGTGAAACAACAAGAACATAAACCACTGAGTGGAAGCAGAGCTCTCTGGGAGAGTTTAAGCTGTAACAGCCCTAAATGAGCTTTAAGTGTTCTCATTATGCTAATGAAACTTTGAAATAAATTGGCTCACTGCACCCAGATGCTCATTGTTCTCCGCTGCCAAATCTGGAGGATTATCAGCCTTGTCCTGTAAATCACTGCACTGTTAGACCTTACAGAACCTTCAGAGCAGTGATTATATTATCCTGTTTCTATGAAATCATGTTCTGAAGACCTCCTTTCTCCATGCTTCTAGTGAAGGAGAATTGATAGATTACTTAAAATATTACTGGATGTTCGGTTAGATGATATGAAGAAATAAAATGCAGAAATCCAGTTTGTGGGAATGACATGCTCGCAGGAGGAAAAGTGTTAGAGGGAGTAAAGTAGCCTGGGGGGGAAGCTCCCGCTGGCAGCTTTAATGAAGCCATTTTCTGCAGGCTTTTCACAGCTGTGTCACGTATCGGGTTTCTGCCCTAATTAAAAGATCAGGTTGATCTGCTGTCGCCATCCATGTTTGCAGCACAAAGTGAAGTCTTTGTTCAAGCCGCTGCATTTTACAGCGAGGTACCTGTTTGTGTTCTCTGGAAAGGGTCAGATGTCACAGTTTGAGGTTTCGGCCACTTTATGTTCAAGACAGTCTTCAAAACCACCGGTTCTGTTAGCAAGGGCACGAACAAAAGGAAGAACCATTCATTTCCAGGCTGGGATTATATCAAATATTCAGTTTTACCTGAAAAAACTTAATTTATTCACAACTGTCCTGCTCCTGGTTTTTCTTCCTTTATTTCACTTTTCATCTCATGTATATCCTCCTCTCCACTCCCATCTTTTTATATGTGATTATCAGTATTTGCTTCTCTGTTGCTCAGCCACCGTGACTGAAGACCAGTCCCGTCTTTTTCTCTTTGTCCTGGTCCTCCTCTGATTCTCATTCTGATTTCTTCTTTCCTGTAAGTTGAGCTTACCACAAAGGAAAATGAAAAACACTCCTGGATTGGCTGCGATGCAAACACACACCAGTAGTGTGTCAAATAGTACTGTGCCTGATTATTTCAGCTTCCTAAACAGTTTTCTTTCAAATATTTTGTTTGTGAGTTTTGAAGGTACATTTATTTGACTTAGTTCAGTAGAGACATGACAGATTGTCTTTACATGAAACTGTGACAAGTGATTGTTGCACAAATATTTTATTTTATTTTTTTAATGGTTTTTAACTTACTGGACATGAATTTTGAGCTGAAAATAATCCTTTTGTTAGCATTCAGATCGATATAATTTCTTCTCTCGTTCTGAGCAGCACTTTTACTCTGATGCTTCAGCACTCTCAATTCTCCCAACAACTATTGTCCACAGGTTAAGTTAATTATTGATCTATCAAAACTTAGTGGTAGTGCATGGCCCGATTACATAATCCTCTTGGGGCCACTAAAAAGTGCTTGAGAGACTGCAGCACTTAAAGTCTTATCTTTCTGTTCCTGATCATGTGATGTTTTATGTTACGGTGAAAAATTAACCTTACTCCCAAAACTTTATATCAAGAACAGTTAGTTTGCTTATAACAGTGTTTAAATGGTGCTTCAACAAAGCGCCACACAGTAAAGTTGAACTGCAGATAGTCTGTTGTTCATTTAGCTCAAACACTTTAAAAAACACTCACTATTTCAGGTGGTTTTCACTGGTAAAACTATGCAGAGTGAAAATTTACAGACACTGGCGACTGATTTCATTAAAACAATCACTGAACCACAGATGATTTCTTACCTGACAACTTTATTCTCACAAACAGCAAAGGCTCCCTCAGTGATCTTGTGGCTGAATTAGTTATATTTTCTTTATCTGTCGTCATCGTAGCATTAGCTTTGGATTGCCTTTGTTTTGGGTTTTCTGTTGCTTGAAGCAAAGATTTAAATCGGCTCCTTATCACAAAACAAAAAGTAACTATTATTTAATTGCTTTTCACACTTTAAAGATTTTTAAGGTTATCTGGATTTACAATCTAATAACCTTTTTCCCTTTCCTTTGTCTGTAGTCAAATCTGACAAGACAGAGAAGAAGGACAAGCAGGAGGATGGTGTGCAGAAGGTGGAGGCTTTTGATGTGTTGAACAAAGCTGAGCACGGGAGCGTGAAGGTTGAATTCAACACTAATGAAAGTTTGGTCAAAGTGGCGAATGAGGTAGAAAAGGGCAAGGAGAAAGCAAATGCTCAGGAGGCAGAAAAGGTCAAAGAGGAAAAACAAGCAGACAAAACAAAGGAGATAGAGAAGCAGGCAGAAAGAGTGGATGATCAAAAGGAAACGGAGAAGCTAAAAGACAAGGAGACGGAGAAAGTGGAAGCTGTCCAACTGAAGGAAGAGAAGGAGGAGAAAAAGCCCAAGGTGGAAGAATCACCTGTCAAAGTGGAAGTGAAAGAAAAGGTGGAGATGATCGACAAGATGGAGAACAAGGATGATAATGTAGAGACCACTAACAACGAGCAACTGAAAAAGGAAGAGAAAGTGGAGAACAAACACAGTGAGAAAGCTGAAAAGGTGGACGAAAACAAGAAGTCCAAAGAGGAGGAGAAGAAAGTGCAAGATGCAGAAAAGCTGGATAAGAACCAGGACACCAAGGTGGAAGAAAAATCAGAAAACAAAACAAGCAAGATGGCAGAAAAATCAGAGATGAAGGATGACAAAGGCCAGCACAAAGTAGAAACAACTTCAGAGCAGCAGCTTCACCCCACCGACAATAAGACAGAGACGAAACCTGACGTGGAGCTGAAAACTGAGGCTGCAGCGGAGAAAGAAAAAGCCGACGCCGGGGAGGCCAAGACGGTGGAGAAAATGAACAATGCAGCCCCGCCTCTGGAGAAACCTGCTGAAAAAGAAACACAGAAGACAGAAAAGGAGGAGAAGGCAGATAAAAAGACAGTAGAGAAGAAAGACAGTAAGAAGGAAAAGTCTGTCAAAGCAGATGGAGACAAGGCTAAGAAACCTGTGAAGACTGCGACCAACGGAAGCAGCACAGCAGCAAGCAAGGACCTGTCCGCTGGAGACAGAAAGACCAAGGTAGGACATATTCTGCTGCTCATCTTGGCCCCACAAAATCCATCAAAACAAGACACAGTCATGTATTCAGAAGACTGCAATGCAGATAAGGATTCCTATATAATCCATCAGTCCAGTTCTAAACAGAGAAAGTCTAACTTACACCAAAAACCAAATAGAGTTATGATTCATCACCAAGAATTAGAAATTCTTGAGACATTTGGAGGTTATTACCTCTGAGCTGAGCTTTACCAGGAAACCTTGATGCACCAAATATTTTGTGACAAATTTCCACCTGTTGGCCCTGGTTTTATACAATTGTCAATTCTCTTTAAGAACCACATTAGGAGTGCATGTATAAATCAGACCCAATTTACTTAATTTTGGGTAATTATTGGCAGACACATTTGAAACCAATCTTATCTACCTCCACAGATGTCTGAATCACCAACTGTCCACTTTCTCTCTGCCTTGAGGCAGCACTGATTGACCCTCCCACCAGGTCATGACTGCACATGTGCGGTTAACAATAATCATCCCACTGTTGCCAACTGAGTGACTTTGTCGCTATATTTAGTGACTTTTCAGACAAAAGAATATGCGGTTGACCAAAATCTGAATAAAGCTCAATAAATCAAAGTTTTAACCGCCTTAAAGTAAAACGCTTAAGCTAAAACAATATCTCTGTCAAAAACAGCCCACAGCTGGAGAGCACGCCGTGTCTTGCATCACCAAAGATCTGTAAATACAGTAAAATCCTCCAGGTTCACAGTACAGAGCTACATGGGAATAAAACCCAACGTAAACATGAGACTTACACTATATCAGGAAAACATGTAATTGTAACACTTATTCCTTTTTTCCACCACAATGTGTCTTATCAATTTATTTGCTTTAGCCTCACAACTATTACAAATTATGTACCAAGCGTGGGAATTGGAGACAGTGAAACCCTATCCATGAAGGCAGAGATATCGGCATTCAGAATTTGCATGCATGGAATTCAATACCCTATGAAAATATTTTTCTCAAAATGAATACTTGCAAACAACTTTGTGTTTGGATGCACAAAGTTCTGAAGTGTTGCTAAATAAGTTTAGTCATTCAATTCTGGTTGTTAATAACCTAATTTTTCAATGGTGGTTACAAATCAACATCTTTAGAATCTTATATGAGTGAATCGCAACTTAGCACATTTAGCACACTCGGCTATGCTAGCTGCAAACTTCTACCTTAAATGTGAGATTCCAATAAGACTGCCAACATTTTCTAGTACAGCATCTTCTGGATGAGATTAAATTGGACTTTTCTAAAGGATCAGACACAGCAACTTAGCCAAGTTACATTCAGCCTTCCTGAAATCTGCCAACTTCTCCCTGCTTGTTTTAGTTAAGTAGCAGCTTGAATGAACATTTAACACATCTTTTGCATTTTACCTGATCACCTCACTGATCCTGAATATAACTGAGTGCTAACAACATGTAGCACTCAGGAGGGTTCAGCGATCGGAAAAAAGGCTCAATATTTGATTTGTAACTCATCAGTCATCAAGCATTTACAGTATGCATTATTTATGCTTCAGATTCAGTTTTCTTTCTCTTTATTTTAAGCTCTTATCCTTGTAATAAAAAATTCACAGCATTTTACTTTTTAATTTATTTTATTATTTTTTTTAAATGCTGCTTGCACTTCTTAGCCCTGCTGCCGCTACCTATGATTTGATGTTGTATTTTTTTTTCTGTTTGCTTCTTCTCTTTATTTTGCCTTCCATCACTGACCTGTTGTGGCAGCCCGCCACAGGGGCGACTAAACCGGTCAGTGCTGCCAAAGCGCGGCCAGCCACCGCTCCTGCCGGTGGCTCAGCCGCAGCCACTGCCAAACGCCCCACACCCACCTCCACCAGTACTACCACTGACAGAAAAACAACCACACCCAAGACAGCTTCCATAAGCGCTGCTGGGCCTAAACGACCCCCTGCCAGTTCCACCAGTCGCCCATCATCCCAACCTTCCACCACCAGCACAGGCACACGAGACGTTAAACCGAAGGTAAGCATGCAGGATGAAGGTTTACGAAAAGTTCTGCAGGAACAATCTCAAAGTTTTCTTCACACAGAATAGAACTAGATACATATTACATTTCTGCTATCTCTCATAGATGGCAAGTTTCTTTGGCACACTTCCATAAAGACCAGATTTATGGAACACACGACCAATAGCTCTTTTATAAACAGATTCTCCTGCCTGAGATTTGAATCTCTGCAGTTTGTCCAGAGTTAACATAGGGCATTCAAGGGTTCAAAGGCTGATAGCTCACATGTCTTAGATGTCACCTTTGGTCAACACACCATAATCCAATGATCAGTTAATCCCCGGGCCTCTGGAGAACTTCAGCAGATTCTCCTGCTTTTTTGAGGAGGTAATCTAGCCATTTAAGGATGCACATCAGCCCTGTTTTGGGCTCTTTAATAGAACTCTATTTTTGTTTTGCTTTGAAAAAAACCTCCCCTTCATTTGGGGACGAGTGAATGTGTGATGAAACTCTGATGCCGATCAAAAGCAGTGAACTCTGGTCCACCTAAAAAGCTCAGTCTCTGTTCGGTTGAAGTGAACTTGTGAACGCCAAATGTTCCAAAGGCCACTCCAAAAGCAGGAAGCGGACTATACCCAAGGGTACTCTGGGTAAATACAACCAAAACAAACAGGCGAGTCACGTGCTAGTTGGAGAAATAGCTCATGGTCTTTAGCTAAAGACAAAAGAGAAATCCTACAAATGCTAATATATGATGCCTTCCCTTATTGGTTGGTTTGACGCTGTGCATTGAACAGTAGTAGCTGAAAATGGAACAAATGGGACAACTTTTACCGAACTGAACCGCATCTATTGAATTATCAGAGCTATATTGGAACAAGGAGACATCTAAAACCTGCAGGACTCAAGCCCTGGAGTGCGACATGTCTGTTGTCTATTTGTCCCAATAATGCATATTTGCATTTGTCCCGTTTTCAGATGAAGGATTGAACAGCGCTCTGTGAGCATGGAACAGGGATCTCTAACCTAACCCTGCTTTAAAAATCCACTTCTGGCCTGAGTTACTTGTTGAAGGTCATCACGTTGTTGTGAGTTCACTAATGAACTTATTCTGGATTTGCAGCTTGCTCAAATTACATAGAGCTGGACTCATTTTACACTAAGGTAACAGGGGCTGACTGAGATGCACATTACACTTTTCATTTTTTATGTGGAAAATCATTTTCTTTTCCAACAGTTTGCCCAGGTTTTATAAAACCTTAGCTAGTTTATTGATTGATGCCTGCCATTTTCACAGCATGAGTCTATTTAGATGTTCAATCTTGGGAAATATATCAGCTTCAGTCATGCAACTTGCATTGGTTATTTTACTTTTTCTCAATTAAAATGGCAAATTTCTTGAAGCATTTAAAAACTTCCTCAGATTGCACAGGAGGTTTCAGTTGTATCAAGGTTGCTGAAATTTCTTGAAATCTACCTCTCTGTCCCCATCTGTTGGTGACCTTCTTAAATGCAGCCAGTATGACGGTAACCCAGGCGCTGAGGCCTTTATTTAGGCCCTGGCACCCTGGGGTGGAGGGTGACTCAGTTCAGGATGGCTCAGCTGGATTTGGAGCATGGCATCATCAACAGGCTACATGGTGATGCAATCATGTTTAACAGAATGCAATCCTCTTTCCTCATGATGTCAAATCATAGATTTCAAAAAGGATGCATTTATAGTTTTATCAACTTTGAAATCCCTGAGGTAGGGGTTGGGGGCAGTAAATAATCTAATATCAAAATAGGTGAAAAAGTGACCTGAATTTCAGTCAGTCAGCAGCCTTTGAATCACCGCTTCTCTGCTCTCTTTTCTCCCATCACAGACCACCACAGAGAAGCGCCCCCTGGTGCCGAAGGCCGGCAGCGGCACCACGAGTCACCCTGCCTCCGGCCCCGCTGCCAAAAACGGGACGGTGAGCACTGCAGCCAGCAAAACCACTTCATCGGTGCGCACAGCCGCGTCTACTCGCACAACTACTACGACTGCAGCCAAAAAGCCTCTGGGTACGTCCAGTTCGGATGACACAAACCAACCTGTTGCACATCGGCATGTTTCTCATTGATTCATTTACATATTTTCTCACAATGTCTGTTTCAGCCTCTAAAACTGACAGCAGCAAACCAGAAGATAAGAAGTCCACCACTGTCAGGACTTCAACAGGTATCACAAAACGCCTCCAGTTTGTATTAATAAATTATGGACGCTTATTTATGATATGACACATCCTGATTCATAAAAATACTAAGTGATATCAATCAAATTTCTTCAAAATGACTCTTGAGATTATAAGGTCAGACTTGAATACACCACATTTTTACTGCTTCATTTTCACTCCAGCTTTTGGCTGAAATATATTAATTTTTTAGACTTAGACTTAATTTTTTATTTCCAACATCTTAAATCCTGTATTCTCCTCTTCTATCTTTTCAGTTATATTTTAATGTCATGCACCTCTGGGATACTTTAGACAGCAATTATAAGTCTGAGTGACTAAAAATCAAAAGTGAGGTTCTTCAGGGCCGTCTTCTTGGGCCATTTATATTTAGTGTTTGCATGCTAACCTTAGCTGTCAGTTGAAATGATACATTTTAAAACGTATCATAAGATTGACTTTGAATGTTCTTGCAAATCAGATAAACTTTCTTTATTTTCGTTGACGGACGATGGACCCCAGTAGAGTGGGGTGACTGAGCCAGACAGACAGTCCCACCATGACTGTGGGTCTAGTAGAGAAAGACTTTGCTGCTGAAAAGCTCTGTAGTCTTTGAAAACCTCCAGCACAGCAGCCTGTGGATTACCAGCTGCTTGCTGTTGACAGGAGTTTGCAGCTCTTGCTGATGCAGCCTTGAGTTGTTTAATCTGCCAGGGTTCATATATAGAAAGTCAAATTACTCTTAAGCTCTGTCAAAGCAACGGGGCGGATTTCCTCAATTAAAGATGTCCTGAAAAAGAGTCAGAGATATTCCCTAAGCTTTCAGGGAGGATTGATAACACAACATGTGATTCAGCATGGCTCAGCAGTATGAAGGAATAGCTGACAAGAGGGGCCAAATAAATATGGATGACAAATTTTCTTTGGCACAAATGTAGTGCCTGAGTGCATCTTGCCTGTGGATGCTGAACTCAAAGATATTATGTTAAATCGGCTTTACCCACACAAGAGAAGATTTTAAAGTCAAGCCGTGAATATTTTCCTTTAATAATGGTGATTCCAACATCCTTCGGCTTCTTTTTGTCTGTCCTGTTTGCTTTTCTGCTTGTTTCTCAGCTTTCTCCGTTTTTCATTTCACAGCTTCGGTCTCCTTTGTGATATCTGTCAGAGTTGAGAGACAGAATGGCCTTCCTTTTTTTCTCCTCTTCTATGTGTGGCGACTTGGATAATTCAGCCTTGTTTTCTGCAGTTATCTGTTCGCTTTCAGATTAAGCAAGAAATCTTTGAAGTTCTTTAAGAAATCCTTCCTTTAATAGTGTTAATATTTGTCTTGAATGTGATTTTCTTCCCTATGAAGTAGTTTACTTTATAGGGAAGAAAAATTCTTCACCAAAGGTGGTGAATAATAGCTTCACCCACTTTGTGAAGCATTTATTGACACAGAAAGTAGATATAGAATGTTTCTATTCATAGACATATCATAAAGCATGGTATGTGCTAATGTGGTCATTGTTTCTTGTCATCTTGTTATCATAGTGCTGACAATTAGTAGCCAAGTATTGCATTCTTTTTTCCTCCACATATCATGCGTACATTTAAGATTTAGCATGTTGTCTTAGCAGCTTGACAGTTAAAACCACTGGTAGTTACTGTCATTTGCCCTTCTTGAGGGAGTTACAATATAGAGAAACAATGAGACTACAAATTTCTAAACTTGTTAAAAAAATTATAACTACATTAAGGAGTTTTGAATGCACTGTGTAAACTTTCCCTCCAGCCGACTCTACCAAGCCCAAACCCACTTCTACCATCTCAAGGAGCACGACTTCCACCACCGCTGCGCCTCGCACTCGAACAACAGCAACCAAACCGGCTCCGCTGTCCTCCACCACGGCCACAGCAGCAGAGAAGAAGCCCCTGGTGCCCCGCACCCATCGACCCACTGCATCCACGACAGCGAGCGCCACCAGCAGGCCCACAGCTCGGCCCGGCACAGCGCCAGACCCCGACATCCGTAACGTCCGCTCAAAGATCGGCTCCACTGATAACATAAAGCACCAGCCTGGTGGCGGGAAGGTAGGTCCTACTGTGTCTGATGGACTCCTCATGCAACTGCCTTACTCCCGGCATGCAATTTCTGATTCTGATTCCAATTTCTCCCAGACTAACTGGAAGTGTTCTCAAACTGAAGGGGCTGTGATTAAAATGGTGCGATGTCTCCTGGAGTTGTCTCTTTACTTTTGTTTCTCCTGATGCTCTTCTCTTTGAGCAAAAGTGTCTTCATGTGCAACCAGTTCTAAACATGTTGGCTCCTGGTCAATTTAGCCCTTTGTGGATTAGTACCCATAAACAAACCATTTCTTACTTGCACACTAAAACCATTTTCTTTCTGGTTATTTTTGTTCGAAGTTAAATGCAACAAAGAATTCAACCATGAATGGTGAATAGACATAAAAAATGCTTAAATCTCATAGCATTTTGCATGAATTATGAGAAGCCATCATGGCTTTCTCACTGTTTGATTATCTTAATTAAAAATATGACAGTTGCTGTCTATATTAACAGAAACATTTCAAACAAAATGTTTCTGTTAATATAGAAACATTCAGCTTCATTCAGGACCTAATGAAGCTGAATGTTAGTTCTATTGCTTGTGTGCATGTTTTACCACGGAGTTCTCTCCTGGTGCTCTGGCTTCCTCTCAAAGTCCAAAAATATAAATGTTATGCTAACTGAGCTCTATAAATAGCCCTCATATGTAAGAGGTGTGTCCATGGGGATGGCCACGCCCCCACATCTGATGGATGGTCTCCTTGCTTCTAGTTTAAACAGAAAGCCAAATGTTGTTCGAGAAGATCTTTACATAAAAAGTAAAAATAGAAAATCTTTTAATTTTTTAGGCTTTTTTGTGTTTTGAAAACATGTAAATAGCTAAGCAAGTCTTCTCTGTAGTCTTGAGAAAAATATTCATTTTACTCTTGTTTCAGCCAGCTGATCAGCAGTGAACAAGAAGCAGCTGGGGGAGGGGTGGTTCTGCAAACCTCTCCCTCTCTATTTTAAAAAGATTTTGAATGAGATTTTAAGCTGCAGGTAAAGCTTGTCGAATGTTTGTGTGTTAATTTAAAACTTACAATTTGAGCTCTGATCAAACATCACATCTTAATTAATGTTAATTAATGAACATAAAATGGAATATCAGTAATGTAGTCCACAAATAGAATAAATACAACTAATTTCAACCATATAAAACATAAAATATGCCTCCAGCTTCTACAAACTGATGAAGGAAACATTGAGTCTGAAACAGTCAAAACTACAAGAGCAGAAGTAATGAAGGGCCAAAATGACCAACACCCAACACAAGTAGAAATGATCTCTATCACCATCATCTTCTCACCACTCACCTTTTCCTCTGCATGTTTACTAACTGCAATAAACACTCCATATTAAGGCTTTCACCCATCATGCCATGGCACACATGAGCCACCCCCATGCATAAAGACCTTTCGTCTGCTTCAGGAACAAAATCCTGAAGCAGGATTTTGTTACTGCTTCCCAGATCAATGCTTTTGAGTTTTGCTTCTTTTTGAGAACCATGGATCCCCATTTTTGGAACGGACCACAGCTGCCCAGGAAATGGCTAAAATCTAGGAATGTTTTAGACCCGCTCTAAGAACGCTCTTTTAATTGTTCAAACACAGAATACACCATCTTAATCTCTTTTTAGCCAATCCCAGCCAGCGCATGTAAATTAGTATTGCGTCAGTAGCATTGTGCCGAGGTATTTTGGAAAAGCCCAAAACCACCTCAAGAAATCACAAAAACTTTTCTTGTGAAATTGAGGAAGTTATTCTGGATGTTGCCATTTTCATCAACCTTTTGTCATCTGATACTTAAAAAAGCACAAAAAAACATTTTGTATTTATTCTCTTGTTTCCTCCTATCTGGGCCTAATTTTACTAATATTCTTTCCACCTTTGGACTTTTTGGAAAGTTTCTTAATCTCTCTCGATCTTTTAACCCACTATCCGCTGACATCCTCAAACGTCTTTGCGCGCCAGCCGCCTCCTCTCAGTTTGTCTTTGCAAGTGGCTCTCATTGATCGGGGGTCGGCTTCTCTTCCCAGGTGGCCTCTGCTTCTCAGAAAAGGGGCGTCACCGCCAAAGAAAGCAGCCAGGGCAAAGTGAGTCCCCCTCCATCCACCCCAACACACTCTTCCTAATACTCTGTTCATTCATTCATTCATTCATTTTTTCATTTGGTGCTTTTTGGAAACAGTTTGGAATTTTGGAAGCATACTTAGCTTCCCCTAAATATGTTTTTATTCTAGAGAATTTGAAAAGCACTAATACACTTGGTAATTTTGTGAAGGTTCAGCTGAAAAAGGATATGACATCTGTGTTGAAGGTTTTGTTATTAATTGCTAAGAATTCTTCAAGTAGATTGATTATATCGATCTACTTGAAATGTGTAAAGACTGTTTACACTCTTCACAGCCAATAGCGAACAGTTTCTTCTTTTCAATTTATGTATTCACAATCATTATTATGCTTTAGGGGGGTCAAAATAGAACCCAGTATTATTTCAGCACTTTAAACAAGATTTTATGTTTTAAAGCTTTTTAAAATAATAAAAAATATAGATACTTTTGTTTTGTAAAGTTAATATAGAGTTGCTTTGACGTAGTGGGTATCAACTTCAGTGTCAGCTTCTTGTCATCAATTGGTTGGGATTGATCACAGTTCGCTTGCCTTTGCTTCTTCCCCTGCTTTTTAAGAACGATCTCAGTGTGTGGTTTACAACACTAGTCCCAAATTTCAGTGTTTATCATTTTTGCCTTATAATATATTTCCCACAATACTGAAAAATGTGCAGGTCATCACCAAATTGTTGTGGAACCACCCCACTTTATGTTTACCAGTGTTCTTGACTAGAACGTTGAGGAAGCCCGGTTCACTTTGGACGATAAGCAGCTCTACACATGATAGCATCAGAATGCTTTGCCATTGGCACCACACTTACTAAGTCATAGCAGCTGTTTTTTTGTTCTTTGTGTCACATCATTGTTGTCCTAAAGTCTTTTCCTCACTGTGCATTCACACCAAGCTCTGCCATGTTGGTAACCTGATCCCAGACTCTTGATGCTCACTGGCTTCCTGGAACCAGACCAGCGAATCATCTCTTCCATCCATCCACCCATCATAATGGGCAATGTTCATATCCCCAACTCCAACGTCTTTTTGCCCGGCTTTCTATCTAAACGGCCAGAAAAAGATTTAAAGACTGGCGGGAAAATCAAATGAGATGGATGAGCAGTACTCGCCAACAACTGCTGGTGTCGTCCAGGACACGTTTGTGTAAAATGTCATCCCAAATATTGAGCTGTTCGCATGTCATGAGACTGTTATACAGTGCAGTGCTCAGTCTGAGGCTTTTTTAGATTTAACTTCTACTAGAGGTCTTTCCTGTCCATTGCATCACCATTCATAACAACCCTGACTACATGAGTTATACCAACATTTAGTTACTCTTCATGATGAATAAGGTATCCTAGAATAAAATTTTTGAATGTGTATTAGCAATCACGGTAGGATTTGCTCTGTTGAACCTTGCTCTCTCCTGCTGTCTTGTCCTTTCTAACCTCAGCTGTGGTGGTTGCCTCTCCTATCCTGTCTTCCTCACCCTCTGCTTCATCTCTCCTGTCTAACTTCCTCCTCATGTGCTCCCGATCCCCTCCTTGGCCCTTCTCTGCCCTCTCCATTCTTGCCGCTGTGCTGTAGGTTCAAATAGTCTCCAAAAAGCTGGACTTCAGCCACGTCACCTCACGCTTGGGCTCCAAGGACAATTTGAAGCATGTTCCTGGTGGAGGGAATGTAAGTACTGTCTGGCCCACAAGCCCTGCTCAGAAGCTCCAGTCAGGAAGTCAACAACTCGACTCAAACCAGAACAAAGATGATTTTAGACTAAAATCTAACAAATTAGATTTTAGTCTTCTAACCAAATTTAATTAAGTTCATTTGTTCACTTTTCTAAGTCAGTTGACGGTTCCTTGAAAAATCATTTTAAAGGATTCGGGTTCTTAAGAATTTCATCACCAAATGAGGTCCATTCTGCTTTCAAAAAAGCCAAAGCAGGACTCCAGGTTTTAAGTCCATTCAGAAAACCAGTGGGTGACGTCACTGAGGCTCAAAGCAGAACCACACATCCTATGGCACCAGCTACCCCCACCCCGAGTGAACCTGCTTCACCTTCCCCGTGCTTCCTTAAACTCTGTCACCCTGTTCTGCCACTAACTCTGATTGGCTGTGACTGCTTTTTTTTATCTTAATTTTTTATTTTTTTTTTTCACCTGTCACTGTGTCACATTTACCCAGGTGTTTTTGGCAGCACTGAATGTATAGGATGCTTTTCTGGCCCTGTTTTCAAATACAGTTTCTTCTAAGACCGGGGATTTAATGCGTTCCTTTTGATGAATTACATAGATTTTAACATGTTAATTTTTTTTTTGTTTGTTTGTTTTAATAAAAGTTCTGACCAGAACCGTTGTATCCGTGAGTTTCTGGTACACTCATAAATCTGATGCACAAGCAACATTTGCAGAGGACAGCGATATCCAATGAATTTACTTCTCGTAATTTCTGCTTCAAAAAAACGATCTGATTGGATCATGTTGTGATCAAGTTGTGCTAAAATGAGTTAGCTCATCAGTGAAGCTATTCAAGCTTAAAATATCTCAATTCTAAACATGTAGCAGCAGCACAGATGTCCCCAGCGCTACGGCAACTTCCACAGTCCACATTTCTAAAGAAGCTCCAGGAAGTTCTTGAAACACAAAGATGAATGGATAAAATAGAACTTTCTGTAGCTTTTTAAATGAAGCTCTCATTTTTATAATGTTTTCTCAAGCCTGAAACACTTACTCTTTCTAGTTTTCCTTCCTGAGATGAACTAAAACTGGCAAAGGATCCTAACACCAGCCTGTGCATTCAGAATAAAAACTGAACTAAAAAAAATCTTTTCATCAACTTCAACAGGTGCAGATACTCAACAAGAAGGTGGACGTAAGTAAGGTGACCTCAAAATGCGGATCCAAGGACAACATCAAGCACAAGCCTGGTGAGACAAGACTTGCTCTGATCCTGTTGTGTTGGTTAACTTTGTAAACAACATTTCCTCTTGTCAGCTTAAACTTCTGAAGCCCGTGAAGTCATACCAATCCTTTACTAATTTCCCTAAAGTGTTAATTGGCTGGTGAATAGTAGAAACAATGAATAAAGCAGAAATGTGTCATTTTAAAAAGTACTGTTAACTGAAGGAAATTTAACACCTTGAATGGAAATTTTGGGCTTTCTAACTATTTTTCTGAGCTATAATTGAGGTAAGGTTTTAAGACTTTTAATACACCCAAAGTCTCCAAAAACCTGCATGTAGAGCTATTTGGCAGGAAAGGTCAGAACTATGTTTGAAGAGAACAAAACACAGGATATGCAGGGTTTTCCACCAGAAAACGTCCTGAGCCCGGTGGTCGGGGCGCCGCGGCGGTCCACCGTGTTTTGATTTAAAAGATGTTAAGAAGACAGGAAATGTAAAAATATTACTGGGTAATTATATGTTACGGGAAAACATCTCCAGTAAAACAATATTTAAACCCACAACTAGTCTTAAAAACAATAAATCAAGAAAACACAATAAAAATTAATATCAATTATTTGCACTTCTGTTTAATACGAATTACGTTAGCGGCTCCATCAGGCCCCCCAGATCTTCAGGGGCCCATGCATGCTGATATATTAACACAGACACATAAATGTAACATTTGTTTATTGAGATGATCAATGCTGCTAAATTTGATTTTAAATTGTTTGACATTTATGTGTAAGATTTTAAGCAGCTGGCAAGTTTAATTTGTTAAAGTTCAAAGAACATTGTTCATAATTACCTGATATGAACACCTCCAGCTTATGGCATGGCCAGGTGTAGCTGTGGAAAACTAATGATTTGGGCTCGTTTTGCAGACAGGACCAATATCTTTTGCAGTAATCTTGACAGTCACTAACTCGTCTGTATACCAAGCTACTCTGGAGTTAAATGTGAGACTATTTGTTAGAAAAATGAAGCTTGTTGGAATTAAGTCATCAACAAGACAATGACACCACTATGTTTGGTGAAATGGTGAAACTTAGTTATTCTCTTGTTTTTGTGATGTATTAATAATCTCCTCTTGTTTGCATTGACCAGAAAATGCATGTATTCATTTAATGACCAAGTATAAATTCATTAGACCCTGGTGAAGTTGTTTGCTTCGCATGTTCTCTTGACGTTTGTTGTGCGCTGCAGGCGGAGGCGTCGTGAAGATCGAGTCCAACAAAGTGAACATTCGGGAAAAGGCTCAGCCCAAAGTGGGGTCAGTGGACAACGTGAGCCATTCTCCTGGAGGAGGGAACGTCAAGGTGAGGCTGGCGTGGAGAGTCAGCCTCTGGGGCAAAACCCGCTGTTTTTACACTGCTGATATGTGAACAAAGTCAAAAGCTAAATGTCTTCATTCCCTGCATGTCTGCATGTAAATACTAACCAATGTGGTTATTCCTGTTGAATTTACTTCTTTGCCCAGATCAAAAACAAGTCATACAATTAAATCAACCAATTTTAAAAGAAGATATCTTTTGGAGATCTCACTACTGTATCGCTAAATATACAGGCACGATGCACTTTATGAGTACATAGAGACTTCTAATAGAATCCATCCATTGTTTACTCACACCTTAAATTATAAAGGTGCCTTTGTTGGGTAATTAGTAAATTATACACATCCAGTTCTTGAGAAAAGTCAATGTTAGGTTCAGGAGGATAAATTGAGACGAGGAAACAAATCATTTCTATTTTTTATTATACATAACTCAGCTATAAACTGTATTTTAAAGAATTTGTAAGCTAAATTTTCCATATATACATGTTTTAAGTTTGTCCCATTCAAAGATTATTTTTTAAAGCAAAAAATGTATTAAAAGTCTTGAAGCTAACTGTCTTAAAGTGCTTCATACATCTCAACCTACATTTTCATAAATCTGTTTTAGTACAAAATAGACTGTTTTTAAGAGATTTAGACTGCACTTCATACAAAATTAAAAATAATGTTTTTTTTTTAAATCAAACATTTTAAGGTATTTGTTTTAATTCATGGCTATATAACAAACTAGTTGTTTACTCTGGTTTCAGTTGTAACCAACGGTTACCCACTCAAATCATTCTCAAAGTGTTTCCAAAATATTTGGATCTTACACATCAACTTTTCGGGTGTTTTTTCATGTTGTAGTTTGTTGTTTTTTTGTTTTTTTTTCTCTTTTTGTAGATGTAGGAACAAACTTCTAGGGTTTTGTCTTGTATTATTTATATCCTTTTTATTTCTCCTGCACTCTTGTCTCCTTCTTTCCCTTTAAACATTTTCTCACACCTTTTCCTTCTCCATATCTATTACATTTAAAATGATAGAGTCTTGCACACTTGTGAAAGTAAATATGTTAGGTCTCACCTCAACACTGAGACAAAATACCGCTCTAAAAAATGAACTGGATTTGATCAAAATTTTAACGACATTGAATTCAAGCATCAAAAGGCGTTTGGATCACTGCTGAAACTGCTGGCAGAGCATCCATGTGGTTTCATAGATGAAAGTCTTTATGTTTGGTGAACTTGGTTCTAATGGTTGCTTCAGTTTGTCATCAATAAGGAAAGAGTTAAAACATTCCAAATGCTCAAAGCTGTGTGGGTTCAAGGTTCATATTCAGTTCAAGGTTCATATTAGTTTTTCCATAGCATCATATTCTTTACATATGTTGGTCATTTGATGCTAAAACCTAAGCTCTTTTGGCTTTTTGTCATTCCATCTCTTACCAAAAGCCTTAAGTATTCACCTTCACAGGCAAACTTGTCTAACTGGAATTTTCTTGCCAGGTTGTTCCATCCGCACCAACTGACATGCCTCTCTGTGTGTTTCTAGGTTGAGGGACCGCAGGAGACAGAGGGAAATGCAACTCCCATGACTAGCAGCCTGGCTCCGGAGATGGGGCCTAGGGCCCAGGAGAACGGGCTGAAGGACGGGGCTCCCAGTGATGGTGAGGGTGTCCGAGAGCCCCAGGCTCTGGACTCTCTAATGCCCGAGACAAGTAAGTTTCTATATGCGCTCCAAGTTTCCACTTTAGGTTTGATGACCTCATTGGAAACTCAGATGGAGGAGACTGACAGAAGAAGTCAAAGATGCTCACAAATGTTCTTTTGCAAGGAACCATCCCCAAAACCAGGGGCTCCCAGAGCTGAGGGTCTGATGAGAGCTGCTCTTATTGGTGCAGCTCTCAGTTGAACTCATTTTATTTTAAGGACAGTCCACAGCATTTCAGCAGGATTGAGCCTGAGGACATTCCAGGAGGTTAATGTTAGCCTGCTATTCCTTCCAAAAGTAGTTTAATGTGTACTGGGTAACTATTGTCCGCACTCTTGACATTTTATAAACTGATGATTGGTCCTTCATTGTCATGATTCCACCAATTCTGAAGCCCCAAAACAGGCTCACACCATGAGCTCAAACTGTGCTTTGCAGTTGGTGGTGTTCACAGGATTCAAAGCCTTGTGTTGACTCCACCACTGTGTTAAAACTCCCACATACTCAGGCACACTGTACATATTCTGTGAGCTGCACACATTGTCTGCTCACGGTTGAAAATTCACAGTCAAGCTTACCGATTTCCCACATTTCTCATGACAAATTCATTTTATATATCTAATTCGAAAGAAGCCAGCTGACATGACTCGGGCGTCTTCCGGATCTGCCTCAGGTTTCGCTATGCAGAGGTAGCAGGGGAGACAGAAGTCTGTATGTATGAAGATCTCCCTCCATCAGATTCCAGATGAGTGGATAACAAGTACTTCCACAAGATGGCGTTGACTCAACATCAACACCTCGGTACAAAACAGCTGTTACCACTGAGTAATTTACTTTGAGGCACCAAGTACGGAAAACATTTGAGGGGACATTGAGTTTGCCTCGATTACGAGGGGGTGAAGTTTGCCGGAGTATGTGGGAGCCTTTAGCCATCATACAGTATCATCTCTGCGTGTGGTGTGTCTGAATGCATCTGTATCTCTCAGGTCTGCAGTCCATCTGATTATACTTTGACTTTTTATCTTACAGGCATCTAATTCTGCTATCCCTCTGCCCTCCTCATTTCAACTACCCCCTATAACGTCACCACCTCTCCCTCCCCTCTTTTCCTCACTGTAAATATGTTTTTTCCCCTTCTCCTTGCCTCACTTTTACTCCCCCTCCAACCCCACCCAAACCCCTTATTCCCTTCCCCATTACCCCTCTGCTGCAGATTGAGTCTATCAAGCTCAACTTCCGCGAGAATGCTCGCTCTCGCACGGACCACAGCGCTGACATCATCATCTGGCCAGCCCCCCACAGGACAACGGCAACAGTTCCCGCCCACATGGTTCCTCGTTCTCCCCGCATGGCCAACCAAAGCAACCACCCAATTTCTTGCAGTGTTCCCCCATCGAGTCTCAACTCCCCCTTTCACCCATCCTTCCCGCACCTACAGGTGGAGGTCCTGGGGGACGGCAGCGGCGTTTCCGAGAAGGGATCCCAACTTTTTTAACCCCATTTAATCTGATATTCGTTATTGGAAAATTAGAATCATTGTGCAGTAGTGCTTCTTTCACATCCTCATGCGTCATTGCCTTCATCATCATCACCACCACTTTCATGTATTTACCTGAAGTGACTTTCAACTCTGACTGGTCCTGACCGGTACTTTATGTGAAGGAAAATTCCATGACGGCAATGATCTCGCTGAGTCTGGCATCTTGGAATCGCCGGCTTTCACGTGGTTGGACCTTCTAGAAAAACCACCATCATTCCCCCCTGCACTCCTGGTGGCAGCAGCAGTCTCTTCAGTAGTGACCAGAACAATTTGGCCCTCCTATTGGATTCCCATCTCTTTTCCCTTGTGATTTTAGGAGCCGTTTTTTCCCCCTGCAGACGCTTCTGTAACGTCGTAGTAATTCAGCATCCATTTCATCATGGCTTCCTCTTTCTTCATCATCATGCAACCATATGCAAACTGACTTAACAAAAAAGAAGGCTGTTTGAATCATTTTAGCCAGTTTAACTCTTTATTCTCTGTGTTTGTGATGAGGTGTTTGATTGAAAAGATTATATATAGAAATGAGCATCTGTGTTCTGTTTGGATCCTCTTTATTTCCTTCTTTCCATCATGTTCCTTGACAATAGAACTAGGTTGTATTTATTATATCAATGCTATTCTATTTTATTTCCTTGAGGTGTCTTATTTCCTTTTCATCAAGTAGTGCTCAGAAAATCTATGAAACACGCACATGTTCTTGCAAACTAAGACACACAGTGTGAAGGAGATGAAGAATGTCGCAGAACGTTGAGGAAAAGGTTGATAGATGAAATACAAAAGGAATTTCAGAGTCCTGGTTAAATATCAGATACGAGGTCAGTGTTGTGACTGAAGAGGTTTTAAATAATATAATACGGGACGTTTGCTGAAGCCGAGAAGCTTTCACTAAGTCCAGAGGGAGAAGAGCGAGATGCAGTTCAGATTGCTTCTGAATGGAAAGGATCAAGTGTCTCATATGTGCCTCCTGTTTGTCTTACCTTAACAAAAACAAAACAAAAAAAAGAATCCCAGTAGGTGAGAGTGATGCAGTTTCACGCCTAAAACAGCTCAGAGAGAGAATATGGTGGCAGATGAAGAGTTTGTCTGTTCTGAGCAGTCCGATTGACTGTTGTTCTATTTTTAGGTGTTTCTGTGCGGGTTGGGTTAATGTGGTTTTGGGAGTTCGCTCAAGATTCAGTTAAATTTAGAAATCATCTACAGTACTGTGTGTCAGTGCTCTTCTTGTTGGCGAATTGCCATTGGGAGATGGTCTTACTTTATTCTCTTCTCTTGTCTTGTAGCAACCTGTTGCCTCCTGATGCCTTTCTAATGCATGGCTAGAAAACAGAAACTCAACCCCAAACTAAACGCTCATGGGTTTTACTCCAGGTCTTCTGTTCTGGTATTGCTTGTCTAATTTTAAAAATAGAAGTTAACAGGAAGTTCTTGTGATGGTTTGGTGTTTAGATTTAATCATGCTGCTCCAACACTGTACATACTGAATACGCAACTTAACTATTGTTGAAAATCTTTTAGCCGAATGATATTTTGGTAGCTTATCAGTGCTCATTTGTTTATAAAATATGTTTATCAATACTATATGTTGCTTTGATATAGCCAGGATATTATTGGAAATATATATTATTCTGTTTAGCTAATGCATACATATCAAAATATATACTTATTACATGGAGCTTGTTGGCAAACAATGCTACATTAGCAATTTTTTCAACACGTCAAGCAAACAATTTTAAGCTTACAATTTCACTTATAGCCAGCTTTTCAAAAACTATTTGTCGTCTTAGAAACTATTCATGTTTCCGTCTTTTACAGGCTTTACCATGGTCACCTACTAACTAACAGTTCCACCTGCTACCTAGCGAGACTAATCTAATTTAAGCATGAATTGACTTATTTTTGCTAGTACACCCTAAAAAATGTAATTGTCAATATAATTTGGTTCAAAGCATAGAGTTCATGAAATATCACCAAAATGCAACATTTTACTGAATAAGTAAAAGTGCTTAAATATTATAACAAAATTAATAATTGTTTTTGGATTAAATTTAGAATGTAAATTGTCTATGTAATAGACTAAAATGACATTTTGTTGAATATCAGTATCATGCCTGGAGTTGGTAAAGGGCTCTGCATGGTCGAACCAAACTGTCGAAGTTGATTCTCAGTGTTGCTGCTGCCGCATGACAAAAACCTCATCATTTTGTTCTCAGCTTTATGTCATCAGCCCCCACTGCAAACTTTTCACTCCTCTCTCTGTGGAAAACTATCATGTGATTGGTCTTAACTTTGTGGTAGCATTTATTCGGAAAACAACTCTACTCAGCGGTTCAACCATTAGGGGCCCTTAACCCTCTTGTTGTCTTACTCCTTTTCATGAGCCCAAAGCTAGTCAGCAGGTTTTAGATCAGACCAAATTTACCATCTAAAGACTGTTACAGTCTCTGAAATGCCACTTTAGTTCATGAAAACTCTGAGAATGCTTGAACTTCTTGCAAAAGCAAATGCACACTTGAACAAAATTTTACTTAACTATGTATAATCTCACTTAAAAGTAACAAACCAAATTCATTTTACTAAGTGGTGCAAAACTAAAGGCAGATACTGACTGGTGCTTAAATTCTTAAATATTCTTCTTTTTCACATAGACGTGAGCTCTGAATTTTCTAATAGCAGGCCTACAATTTTCACTGCAATTTAATATACCTGCAAAATATTTTTAAAAAGAATATGTTATACAAAATATTTGACAAACCTGCCCTTATCTCTAAATCTGTTAAAAAGTACATGACTTTAATCTCTATGCCGACTTCACATGCTTATTTTGGATTAGCTTTTCAGATCCTGAAGTCAAAATAACATCATCCAGTTATGATGGATCAATAAAGCTTTGTGACGAGAGTTCAGAATTCAAAGTCACACGTCAGAATCTTTATGTAAAGGAAATTTTTTATCGAGTTGATATGTTGCTGTTGCTTTGATGAAACTAAACTGCACCTTAATGCTTTTAATCAAAGAGGATTAACTGTGATGTAGTGGTGATTCCACTTTTTATGAATAGTAACTCGAACATGAATGAGTTTTCGCTTGGTAACAGTAACCTGTTTGTCAGTTTTACCTGATTTCTTCATATCGTCCTCATTACAGTTCCTGTAAGACTAGTAATAAACTGTACACATTCTGACACATATAGGCAATAGCTTGTCATTTCATACAAAAAGGTGTTGTTGCAAAAGGCGTAGCTTTGACCTTGCAGCTGTTTTCTAGCTGAGCTCTTCCACGTGCCTGTCCATAACGAAAACCCAGCTTTGCTTCTAGCCACAAGTTTCTATTCGCCTCTACTTCTGGGATTGTTCATAGCTGCACTGTTATTCGCCCTGAAAACTACGAACAAACGACGTACAGCTGCAGTTATGGATCTGTGGGCGGGAACGTTGCTTTTATTTCCACGTAGCTTTGCTAGTTTTTATGGGGGGAAGGGTTTTTATCATGACTGTTATGGCTGTTATTCTGAATACTTGTGACAACATGGTAAGCTTTGGCCTGTTTTTTCTTTTGTTTTATTTTTTCGAAAGGGGGCCACTGAAGTGAAAGAATGTCTGTCGAAATAAATTGTGCTAAAGACGCAACACTTTTGTACATGTATTTATCGTTGTGTTCCTGTAGCCTCGTGGCGGTTTCGCTCTCATGGTTGAAGGGGCTCGAGGTGTGACTTTTTTTTTTTTTTTTGCTTCAGTTTTACAGTTAGCATTGGAGAAGATACCTGTCAACACAAATCTGTATTTGATTTCATTTGAAGTGCTGTAACGGCTTTATACATAAAATACTGAAGTGGTATTATAGAACCTAATCAATGACGATCTTTCTAACATATTTTCTTGTACTTGGTGTGCTGCCACAAGAAGCCCAGTCTTAAGAGATGAAAATGATGGAGAGAAAAGCTGGAAAAGTAAGAATGCAGCGACCCCTGCTGGTTTGAGGATAAAGTTAAATGGAACTGAAGCTAAACACTGATGTAGGTTAAGGGAGATAATGCTGGCTAAGAATGGCACTTACAGAGCAGCAGCCTGTCTAACACACAGTTAGAGGTAGACAACTCACTGTATCACCTAAAACCTTTCTGAGGAGCGTCGTGGAGCTTCAAATAAACATTTAACACTCGCTTACTGCTATACCTGCAGAGCATGCTGAAAACCAACAATGGCTTGTGTTAGGTAGACTTTCTCTCATTTACAGAACTTCCTTGTTGTTGTTTTTTTTTTTTTTTTCTTGCGTGGGATTATGTTTTTCTCAATATTTTGAGTTTTAGTTTTGGTTTTGAAAAAAAGAAGTGTTTATTGTGATTACTTGTTAATTAGTGATGTGATTATTAAACATAAAATAAATTGGACTAAATTTCATATTTGTGTTCAGTTGTATTCTTTGCAGTTGGGCCTCAATCATGCACAGTGACCAGTTTTTGCTAAAGACTGCAAACAAAAGTTATTAGTTGGAGAAAGTCATGACAAAAAGCCTTTTTCACTATATTTTAGCCCTGGCACAAATGATCGTCTAACTTCATATGAGAACATGTGAAGTTGGGAAAGAGTCCTGCTGAGTCTTAGCACTAGAACAATCTTCTCCTGATTGCAGATTTCTGTAGCCGCCAGTGCAGAGCTTGCGCAACATCAATAGCGGCTGAGTGGGTGCATCTGAATGCACCTTGAGCTGCATCTCTGATAAGTGCTCAAGTGACTCACAGGGAAGAATATTGAAATTTTAGACCTGCTGTCTGGAAACTTCTTAGATCTAAACGCCACTGAGAATCAGGATGACTTCACATAACAGGGAGAGGAATGTTGTTTACCTCTTTCCGTTTTAACTTTTTTCCACCATTTCCCTCAAAACCCCCCGCCCCCCCTTCCCCCTCCCACACACACACACACACACACACACACACACACACACACACACACACACACACACACACCACCCCCCACACACACACACACACACACACACTGGCGTGTTTTTGCATTACTTCTGTTAGATGCTAGGGGGCAAGCATGTTTTCAATGACATATAAGAAGGAAGGAGGCGACACTCCCATACCAGTAGGTGGCGGTAAAACATACTTAACGTTCCTTGCTAACAGTCGAGAGGAAAAAAATCAAGAAGAAGACGACGGTTACCGGGGTAACGTCAACATCGCATGAACGTTAGCTTTCGTTGGAATGGTGTTGCTTTTCTGTTTAGGTCGGAGAACTTCAGCAACCACAGAAAATTAAAGGTTCCGAACTGAGCTACATTGTCCGAGGCTAAAGCTAAAGCTAAAGGTAATGTTAAGCAATAGTTTGTGGCTGGAATAAACGTCATTTTGACATGAATGTTCTCAGGATTAGAAAATGTTTAGATTACAGGAGCAAAGAGCTTCAAGACAAACGAGGATATTAAAAGGAAAGCTGGTCAAAAAGGCTACCGTAATATCAATGTGAATGTTCGCTCGTTGTCATTTATCCATCCCTTGGTTTCAGGCATCATGGCGAGCCAGAGACCACCTTCCGGCATTGCCAGGCCGATGAGTCGGAGTGGGACTGCGGTTCCTGGTGCCGGGAGACCCCCGACAGCAGTGCGACCTCCTCCCACCGCGATACGAGTATCAACCGGGGTAAAAGCTCCGCGGCGTCCCGATGTCTTAGTTCTCATTGCTTAACAGCGAGCCAGATATGACGACTAAACTTTCACAGTTTACCTTCAGTGAGATCGAACCACCGAGGGAACTTGAGGGAACTTTTGGTCATCAGCTTAAGAAAACGCAATACTACTCATCAGTCAAATAAAGGCTTGAATGTATGATTAAATAAAATTAAATATGAGCTCTAAAAAAATATCGAATTCATAAGCTGCTGTACTTGTATAAAAATAAGAAAATGCCAAACAGGAAAGATATCAACGCTGTCCTTACAGGACAACTGCTGCTGCACAACACTGGGTTTTTAATCAAAGGGTCATTCTGATAGTGATGTTTTCCAGATGGTTCCAACTACCAGTGGGCACCCAGGTATGAGAGGGGCCATCCCCTCTCCTGGAGTCCTGGCAGCAGCCATTAAAGTGGCTGACAGGCCCATCACCCAGCAGGGTCTCAGTGGGATGAAGACGGGAATGAAAGGTATAGTTAAAGAGGCTTGTCTTTGCCTCTAAATAAACTGCTGTTTGTGGACGGGTTCCTTTTATATGAGTGAAAGTAACAAAGTCACCGTTTCTCTCTCTTGCTCTCTCTCTCTGTTTTTTTTTCTGTCACTTTTCAACTTTGTCCCTCCTGGCTTTCCTTTCTGAAGGGCCTCAGAGACAGATTCTGGATAAATCCTACTACCTGGGTCTCCTCAGGTAACATGATAACCAGCAGATTGTGGCCACATTTACCAACACAATCATTTCTTCTAGTAAGCTGTTTAAGTGTGATTATTATCATTATTATTACTTTTAGTTTATGTAGGGAACAATATAGTTAGGAAAATAAAATGAAGCAAATTCACATGTAAAAAAAAATATACTTGTGTGTTAGCTAAAGCAGTATTACATCTCATCCCTTCAATCTTTTCACATTTTTTCACCACTGTCTTCATTTAATTAAGTATCACATTCAGTAGACAAACAAAATTATTAATATCATTATATGTTTAAAATTATCTTTTAACTCCACCAATCATATCCGATCACCCATCTTGTCCGAGCTGCCGATTCCGATTTTGGCTGATACTGTTTTTCTTTTTTGTTTTTCTGTCTGAGTGAGATCTGAAAAGTTGCTTAATTTAGTGACAGTCACTCAGACCTGGTGGGTCTGTCAGTCAGCTCTCTTTCACAGCAGAGCAAAAAGAGACAAAATACAGAGAATAAGAAAAGGTGTGAGTCATTTTGCAAGGCGCTGTGCTGGGTTACTGCAGAATATTCCATAAATCCTTCCATATTCCAACTTTTAGGTGACATTATGACGTGAAAATGAATGTTTTTGTTGTTTTCACCATTAGGAGTAAAATCAACGAACTGACCACAGAGACCAGCAAACTGCACAAAGAGATAGAGAACTACAACCAGGAGAACTCCGTCTATGTCTCCTACGAGAAAAGGTCTGTGATGGATTTAGCCACTATTATAAAGATGCAATCAGTGAGTCTGAGCTCAAATCCGCTCGTGTTATAAACCTTTTGCTGTATGTGTGTGTTGCAGGGCAGAGGGTCTGGCTGCAGAGCTCAAGGACTTGCAGGGCCAGCTGGCTGATTACAACATGGTAAACAGGAAGTACCTGGCTGCTGTCACCACAACTGTAGCGTCAGTCTTGGTGGTGATCTGGGAGGTTGTTGGGTTTTTTTTACTCTTATTTATGTCAAATCTGTTTTCAGCTGGTGGACAAGCTCAACACCAACACAGAGATGGAGGAGATGATCAATGACTACAACATGGTGAGCATGACCTGGAATTGCTTAGAAAAGTTACCCGAGACCACATTCAGCATTGTTCCTCATTGCTTCCTGTTTGACTTTGTGTTTTCCCAGCTGAAAGCGCAGAACGACATCGAGGCACGAAGCATCGACAGCATCTTCACAGAGAGGAGAGAGTATGGATCATTCAGTTCATTTCACTATGTCTTAGCAGGCAGTGGTATAACACAGGAACTGACTGAGGTTCCTCAAGGCAATATCACAGTAACTACGCTGGTTCTCATATTCACCATAAGTACTTGTTCAAATCAGGGAAACCTCAACTTTTTCATCAGATATTCAGAATCAGGTCAGCAAAAACTTGTTGGGCACAGTTGAAGGAAAAAAGGCACATCCGAGCCTGTTTTTCATTTCCATCTTTTAACTTTTGTCTTTGATAGTGACAGCTGAAATCTGTCATTAATGGAGTCAATTTGTGTCTGCATTTTGTCCCTACCGACCTTTATTTTATACTATAACTCTGAACATAATATTACTCCTGGTAGTTAGATGTTGTAATAATTTCCGGGAGTGGACAGTCATAGCCATAGCTCTGTTTAAATCATCTCAAGCCACTTTCAAGACATACAGGTCAGGTTCATATCGCATCGCATAGAAATACATAAAAAATAAACATAATTCATGAAATTCCAATTATATACACACATTCAGATTGTATTTATTCAGTTTTATTCAGTCATAACTAATGGAATAAAGTTATATTAAAGTTAAGAAAGCCCAGCTGATTTCTTCAAAATAAGCATGTGCTGACAATGGATAGGAAATAGTTTTAATCCCTAAAATAAATGTTTTATGATTTAAAAACAATAATTACAAGTCTTAAATTTTGCCATGACAAGTGTACTTAATTTCATATATGTAATTTTTATTTGTCTGTTACTGGAGGCAGTTGAGGCTACCATTAACTATCTGCTAATATCTGCTTGCTACTATGCACTAGTATTTCAGTGTCAGTCATAATAAGTAAGTGTAAATTTATAATCAGTTGGGTGGATGATGTTCGTTTTTGTTACTCACATGAGTGTCAGTGCATTTTGTGGCATAGAAATATCGATTCTTGGCACTATGGGGGTTAAGGTAATAGAGAGCTGTAAGCAATATGAGAAGCACAAAGCTGCTGCCAAGAACCACAAACCAACCCAGAAATTTTATCACTTTTGCTACGTTTGATTGTAAAACACCAGAATCCCTCAAGCATCCCCTATATTTATAGTTTTTTTTGTCTTAAATATTATTTAATGTTGCATTAAAAAGGTCTGAAAATTTGCCTAAACCTGCAGATACCCTGTTCTTAACATGATTTCACTGCTCATTTAATCAGACACGATGACATGGAGAAGGATCAGTAAACCTCAGACAATAATTATTCACAGTATATAGAAGCTAAACAACAAGCTTAGTTTACATAAACTAGTTCTTTCCCTTATGTAAAGGACTACATAAGTTCATTTACAGCTCTAACATTTATAGATTCAGTCTAATTTGATACCAGCCCCTCAGTGAGATTTGGTTCCTTATTGTATCTCTTCCTCTGAATCCTCCATTCTCTTGATGTATGGATCCTCAAAATATCCATCCTGGTCCTCCTCTTGCTCCTGTATCCGATGACTCAGTTCCTCAAAAGTGAACGTCTGCTGGCTCTTGCACCCTCCTGTCTCGGTTGTCATGGTGTCCTGGCCTCCTTCTTCATCGTCTTCAACCAGTTTTCGATGTCTGTAGTTGTGGAAGCTTTTGTACCAGGAAGGTCCTTTGATGGCAGTGAGGATGAGTATGCATGTGGTCAGGCCCAAGGCAGCAACACAGGCTGTGAACTTCCACGTGTGTCCAGGTAAAGGTTTCTGACCTGGTTGCAGAGTGGAGATAAAGACAATAAAACTGCCAGTTTAACTAGTTGTTTTTTAGAGGCTTAGGAAATGTTATGA